TCTTTTCCCCCTGCCTCCAGAATCACATAATAGTAATGGCCACTTCACATATTAAAAGGGAGCATGTAAACATAAACATGAACCATTAACATAGAAGCTAATATTTACAATATTACATGATACATATGGCAATATTATATATGAAATTATTCAACATGACCATACAGGTTTTCCTTGCTTTATGCAAATACTTTATCATTCAATTTACTATTTTTATCCAACAACTTGCTTCTCATGGAAAAAATGTTTGCTGTTATAGTACGTGATTTCTGCCAGCAATGTCAATTTCCACCAAAGGTCTGGAAACATAACAAATCTTTTACTACCCAAACCCCTTTCTGCCGTGCCCCATATATTTATCATCACAAAGAGTTCTCACTTAACAACCCTAACTGGGACTGGGACTTCCACCACTAAATGTTGTGGTTGTTAGGCCAAACACCATGTGATCGCAGTCCTTAGCACCAGCAGTTCAGAATAGACCCAGTTGCAGTTATTAGGACAAGATTGTGCCATCATTAGGTGAGGACTTCATGCTTCTCCTCACTTAATGACGGCACAATCATGCTTGCCTCTACTAACCTATCTCTTCTCCCCTTTAGGGCACTGTGCCACCATCCATCATCCCTGCCACCCTAAAATCTGCTGCCCTTGCTGCTCCACACTGCATCCTGTGTCCCTGCTGCCCTGCACTCTGCCACCGCTGCCTGTTTTTTGCCTTCTTCTTCCCATTGCTGATGAGATGCACCTGGCCTAACCCATCACAAAGGTAGCTGCTGGTCTTGCATTGCTTTCCAAAGCCAGATGAGGCCTCAGGAAGGCAGTACTTGGCCTGACATTGCCTTGCAAAGCATCAGGTCAGGCACAACATGTCAGCAGAGGAAGGTATGATACAGGTCAGCTGTGGATGTTAGCGGTAGAGCACAGGGCAGCAAGGTAGTGGAGTGCTAGCCAGAGCACAGTGTGGTGGAGGCAGCAGGGGAGATGGAGTGCAAGGTGGCCAAAAGAGCAGAGGTAGGTAGGAGGGAGGACTATGAGGGGAATTGAAGCAAATCCTGCAGTCATAAATGCAGGCAAGTTGCCAAGGGCCAAATTTTAATCACGATTGCAGGGGCATTGTAATAGCTCTAGGTTCAAAGATCAAAAGCAAATGCCATTTAGCGACTGTTTGAAATTATGATTGCACTGAACAAATGTTATTTTCTCCTGGTCCTTGAAGTAATTAAAAGGTACATACGGGTAGTCCTTGTTTAAGATGATGTCATTAAATAACATTTGTTGAGTGCCATGGTCATTAAGCAAGGACCACCTGTTTATACTTTTTAAGTAATACTCTTTTCTTAATATTTAATGCCCTTTGAAACTAATGCTTTCAAGTATTACTTTCAAAAAAGAGCCTGGTGGCGCAGCAGACTAAAGCACTGTTATTAACATCAAGCTGTCTGCAATTACTGTAAGTTCAAATCTCACCAGGCTCAAGGTTGACTCAGCCTTCCATCCTTTTTAAGGTAGGTAAAATGAGGACCCAGATTGTGGGGGCAATAAGCTGACTTTGTATAAATATACAAAAGTATGAAGGCTATTGCTTAATGCATTGTAAGCCGCCCTGAGTCTCCGGAGAAGGGCGGCATATAAATCAAATTTTTTTTAAAAAAATCTTTTAATGTATCGGACAACCTGGATCTAGCATCTCAAAGAGAAAGATTTCTCTTCTGTTCACTTGTCTCACATTATCTATAATTTTATTCACGATATAAAAGCTGGAAGAAGTAAAGATGGAGATTAAAATAAAAATTCAAAAAGCAGTATTATGTTAAGCTCCACATTACTAAACGCGATATTCTGCATTTATGGCCATTTGCAGTGTTCCATGGTCAAGTGATTCAACAATAGTTTTGCCCAAAATCAAAATCATTGGCAGCAGAGAGGCCTCCATGCACAGCGGGCAGTCGCGGAGGACTACAACAGCAGGCCTGGGATGGCTGAGGCCCTGTAGGTGTTGCTGCTGCCACTGCCGCCGCCTGTGGAGACCTGGCAGCACCCTGCAGCCAAGCTGAGCCATGGGCGAGGAGCGTTGGCCGTGCTGGGCCGGCCGAGCTGTGTCTGTTGGGGCTATCCTTGGTGTGGCTGCCTGGCGTCTTGCTGCCGGGTGCCTGGAAAGAGTAAACTGGACCTGCAGGAGGAAGGGAGGGTGGGCAAGGGTCCCACGAGGCTCCCTTTCCCAGGAAGAGTCTGGCCTAATCGCCGTCCAGTCCGGTGACTCCTGAGGCAGAGCCGCTTCCTGGACTCCTGGGGGGACTGCGGGGTGATCGGAGTGGAGAGGAGCAGGGGGGGGGAAGGGGAGGCTTTGTGGCTTCCAAACCCCAGCCAGGGCAGCGACCGCTCTGGGAGTGTGCTTCCTACTCTATGGTGACAGCTGGAGCTGGACCCTGCAGGGAGAGCTGGCCCAGGCTGTGGCTTCTGCGTGGGTGTTGGTGGTGGGCATCAGCGGCATTTGTTATGAGCTCAAGGACCTGGTGCTCACCCACATCAACGTGGTGAGGCCTGGGAGGAATGGGGACAGGCACTAGCACAGCTTGGTGCCTTCGGGACGCACGCGTTCTACACACACATACCGCGGGAGGGAAGGGGCTTGATGGTGGTGCGCGAAGGGAGCCTCTCTCTGCCGGACTCCCAGCTGTGAGTATACAGGCCACTCGGGGCCTCCTGCATAATAAGACCCCCCGATAATAAGGCCCCTATTTTGGGGTTCAAAAGAAAATAAGACCCTGTCTTAGTTTCGGAGAAACACGGTATTACTAACTTAACAACTGCAGTGACTTACTTAACAACTGTGGCAAGGTCATAAAATAGAACAAAACTGACTTAACAACCACATTGCTTAGCAACCAAAATTATGAACTTAATTGTGGTTGTAATGTTTCCACACAATTAAGTTCTTCTTTTCCCTGAGGAAACCAGGCACTTCCATTACAAGAACATTATACAATATTTATCTAACACTTGACCTACACTATTTTGTTTTTCAGAAAATCACCTATTTTGCCATAGCGCCCTCATAAAAATGTATTTATTATGAAGAATATTGCTGATGTTTCCTATAATTCTTTCTTGGCTCTTTTACTAGTTATCTTTAGTACTCTGTTAAGGATTTAAAAGCAGCATTGAAATTTACTGACATGTACATCTTTAGTAACTGTTTATGCAAGCAATGTTCTCTCTTCATAGAATCTGTGCATTATTGCATTTAATATTAAAGTGTTTTGGTACTTAAGGATAATCACCTTTTACAGAATTATGATCATTCCTCCAATATGCAAGCCAGTATAATTAATGAGTATGATTAATGCTAGACTGATATTAGAGACACACAGGTTTAAAATGCCATACATCCGTGAAGCTCATTCAGTCAAACACTTTCTTTCCACTTAATCTACTTTATTATTGTTGGATGTTTATTTTGTAAAGTCATAGCAAGTACAACTGAGATCAAATCTAATCAAATAATCAATAGGGATTGATTATTTTTGAAGAAAAATGTAAGGAACATATAATAAATTAAAAAGGAGAATGATGCAAATCAGAAAAGTCTGCCTTTCTATGCACATTCTCAATTGTTGCTATTTTGTTTTCAAAGTCAGTGAGCTGAAGTAAGCCACTGTAACCAAAGGCAACTATACTCTCCTGCACCAGAATCCCATTCTATATTGCCATAAGCAAGGAAAGAGAATAGGGGAAACGGCAGAATGACCCTGTGGCAAAGCTATTTATTTCCCATAATATGCAGACTGGGCATCAAGCTACTGAGGATTTGAGGAAGTTAATCTATTTTCCTTCTCTGTCTCTGGTTTTGCTTTCCTAGTCAGAATCATAAGCAAAACCATCTGGGGACTTTTAAAGCTTCTCAGATTAAATGATCACACTCTAATTTGCATTTTCCCCTTCAATCCATATTTAACCCAAGAGATTTCATACTAGTAACAACTCCTTAACAAGTGAAAATAAAAGCAAGTGTTACACAAGTTAACTACAGTAATTACAGTAAATTCCACAAGTTAACTACAGTAATGGGGCTGGCAAATCGACCTGAAGCCAGATAAATCTGAACCCAGATTCCCAGAGTGTCTAGTTCAATAATAGGTTACTGTTTCTCCCTCGTACAAAAATCATACAAAATGATTCATTATTTTACTCATTTATTTGCTTTTCCATATAAACTTTCCCCGTGGCTTCTGGATTGCACACAGAGTATTTTTTTTTTCAATTTTATTCTCCCTATAAAGTAGATTAAGCTGATAATATTTTTTTTTAAATTACATTGTAATGTTTCCTATGTTTCGCAAAGGAAACATTCCTTGAAGGGTCTAGGATACTAGTTGTGAGAAGATGAAAGAACCCAACAAGGAAGATGAAGTCTTTATAAAAAACAAAAATGAGCAACATCTTAGAGACCCTTCTCTGGGGTTTGAAAGTCAACCTTTATCCACTGTGTGTAAAAGAGGCACACAAAGGATCATTTTAACAGACCTTCATTCAAGTGCGATGATACAGTGAGACAATATTATTGCTCAAGGCGGAGGGCGATAACTAAAAGAGCCAATGTAATAATCCACAGCTGGATATCTTTTAATCCCTAGACAGGGAAAAGGGCAGAAGAGACGTCAAAGGAGAAAGGGCAGTAGAGACCGTAGAGAAGGCGATCAAATATCACACCAGGGAAGAATAAACAACCGTCGGAAAAGAGGTTGGATGGCGGGGAAAAGTAGCTAAGGAAATACCTTCGGAGGGTCAGGGGGCTCCGCGAACCTGTCCTCCGCTTTCACGACTTCAGCTGCCGCAGAGCCGCTTCCAACTGGGGCCGGCTCTCCCTCCGCTGCGCCCCCGGCCCGATCTTCCAGCACCGAGCCCGCCTGCCTCCTGCGCTCGGCGCCCCTCGAACAGCTCCCCAGAGGGGACCCCCCACACACACCCCACACACCCCACCCCCGGTCCACCTTTACCTGGACAGGTGCTTCAGAATCTGCTTCTTGATGAGACCAGCCATGCTGAGCCAGAGACAGGACGCGGGTTCTCTATTGCCCCAAATGCCCCGTCATTCCCTTTGTAGCCGGCCGCGGATCTTGCAGCTCCCGCCGCGGCCGCCAGCAGTTCCAGCCATCCTCCGTCCTCTCCTCTGCCCCCCCCCGCCCCCCCTCCCAAGCAGGCTCCGCCAGAATCCCGGCCGCCACCGCGGCAGAAGCCAGCAAAGCTACTCGCGCCCCCGCCCTCTGGAGAAAGGGTGGGTGGGGGCAGAGGCGGGACGAACCGGGCGGTGTGGCAGCGCCCTCTATTGGCTCACAGGGCCAGTAGCAGCCTCAGCAACCTCTCCGGTTGCCAGCGAAGCGGCTCAGGCGCAAAACTTCTCGCGGCTCCTCCGGCTTCGTTTGGGCTTGGCGCTTGCTTTGTTCTCATCGGGCGCTAGAGAAGGCTGGTTTTTAAGAAACACCGGAGCTCCGCATCTCCGGGAATTTTGAACAGCACGTAAGAAAGAACCGCGTCCTCCATTTTTTAAAGGAGATTTGGTCTGTGTTCGTACAGAGAAGAGACTGGACAGCCATCTGTCAGAAATGGTGTATATAGGGCAGTGGTGGGATTCAAGTAATTTAACCACCGGTTCTCTGCCCTAATGATTTCTTCCAACAACCAGTTTGCCAAACTGCTCAGAAAGTTAACAAGCGGTTCTCCCGAAGTGGTGCGAACTGGCTGAATCCCACCACTGATATAGGGTCTCCTGCTTGAGCAAGGGGTTGGACTAGATGACCTACAAGGTCCCTTCCAACTCTATTATTCTATTCTAAATGCTAAGCCATGACGTATCTCCTTGTGGATAATTGAGCAAGTCGTTGTCTGATTTCGCCCAAGTTTCTAACTATTAAAACAGTTCCCAAGTCACATTAGCAGAACCACAGACAAGCAAATGGTATTTGTGTGACATTTTCAGTCTCCTTCTAGGTAACTGGAAAAAAATGTGGGATGGATGATCCCACTACTAGATAGATTTGTTGAACAACTATATCCCAGGTGTTGTCCTTAATGGGTCTATATATCCATGTGGAGGGGGTATGCATGGGTTTTGCTTGGGCCTAGTGCTCCTCAACATCTTCATAAGTTAGATGAGGGAACAGAAAGGATATCCATAAACTTTGCGGATATCCATAAAGCTGAGGCTGATTGCTAACACTGGAGTAAAGAACCTAACAATTCAATCAATCAGAACAGAGCTGGAAGGGACCTTGGAGGTCTTCTATTTTATTTTATTTTATTTTATTTTATTTTATTTTATTTTATTTTATTATTCATATTTCTATGCCGCCCACTCTCCGAGGACTCTGGGCGGCTTACACCAAAGACAGTATACTAAATAGCACATTGCCCCCAACAATCTGGGTCCTCATTTTACCCACCTCAGAAGGCTGGAAGGCTGAGTCAACTTTGAGCCGCTGATCTGCTGAACTAGCAATCAGCTGAAGTAGCTGCAGTACTGCACCCTAACCACTGTGCCACCTCAGCTCTTCAACCCCCTGCTCAAGCAGGAGACCCATTTCACACAGTGGCTGTCCAGTCTTTTCTTAAAAGCCTCCAGTGATGAAGTACCCACAACTTCTGAAGACAAGGTGTTCCACTGCTTAATTGTTTTCACTGTTAGGAAATTTCTCGTTGATTCTAGGTTGCTTCTTTCCTTGGTTAGTTTCCATCCATTGTTTCTTGCCTTGCCTTCTGGTGCTTTGGAAAATGACCCCCTCTTCTTTGTGGCAGCCCCTTAGTTATTGGAACACTGCTATTATGTATGTCACCCCCAGCCCTTCTTTTCTCCAGACTGGCTATACCCAGTTCCTGCAACCGTTATTCATATGTTTTAGTCTCCAGGCCTTTTGAATTGAATTTGAATTGAAGAGGAACTTGATAGACATGAATTTTGGGCCCTATCCAGCCAAATGTTCAGTTTTGAGAAATGTAGTATTCTGTCCTTAGGCAGGGAATAAATAGATGCACAAGTACACGTTAGGCTTCACAGTAGTACTTGCAAGAAGGAACTGGAAGTTTTGGTAAACCACAAATTAGGAATTGTGCTGCAGTTGCCAAAAGGCAGTTTGGGGCTACGGCAATAGAGATATATACTGCACTGGTCCATCTGTACCTGGCTGTATCCAGTTCTGATTGCTACAATCCAAAAAGGACACTAAGGAACTGTAACAAGTTCAAAGAAGACAAGTGAGTACAATAAGGGACTTAGAGGCTAAATCCTACAAACAGTAGTTAAAGGAACTTGACATGTTTAACTTACGGAAGAGGCGGCTATAAGAAGACATGATAACATTCCTCCAATACATGAAGGGATATCACAGAGTTGAGATATGGATTTATTCGCCACAGCATCTAAGGATAAGAAAAGAACTAATGAGTGGAAGCTTTATAGAGAGAACTCCAGACAGTGGTGAAATGTAAAATTTGTTACTACTGGTTCTGTGGGCATGGCTTAGTGGGGAGTAATGTGACTGGGTGGGTGTGGCCAACTTTTTTTTTTTTTTTTTACTTAAAAGCATTTTTTCTACAACCTTTTCGGCCGAAGAGGTTGTACAAAAAATGCTTTTAAAGGCTCTGACAATCCCCAGCTGAGCCGCGCGATCATCAGAGGCTTTTTTTTTACTTTTAAAAGCATTTTTTCGGCCGAAGAAAAAATGCTTTTAAAAGTAAAAAAAAAAGCTTCTGATGATTGCGCGGCTCATCTGGGCATGGAGGGAGGGACAGGAATTTTTACTACTGGTTCTCCGAACCACCCGCCGCCATTGCTACCGGATCGGGTGATCCGGTCCGAACCGGGAGCATTTCACCCCTGACTCCAGACTATGAATTAACTATGAGAATTCCCTGGGAGAGCTATTAAGCAGTGGGAGAGCCTTATGGAAGTCTCCTAAACCAGATATTACTTCCTCTAATCTTGCCAAATAGAACTGTCCTCCTTTAAAATCCATTACCTACTTGCATGATGTGCTCAAGTATGTAAGTTTGTGTGTGCTCATCATTACTTCAAAGGAGCAATTAGTATTTACAGTATTCAATTGGGACTGTTTATTGGTTTTTGTCTCTTATTAACCCCTGCTGGGATTGATATTTAGAAGATAGCTATTGTCTTGCTCTTTGTCTAGTGTCCAGCTTTCACTACTCTGGTCTTAAATAAATATATTAAATATATAAATATATAACTTTTATAGCTATATCTTTATGTGCCTTAATTTTATGTAAATTTAGCTTTGGCTTCCTTCCCAAGATTAATGCCCTTTTTATTTCTTTTACACACCATAGTTTCTTTCTTTATTCTTGAACCAAATAACAACAACAAAACTTTTGTACTATTTTAATTATCAACATTAAATTCATCTGGTTATAATACTGGTTATTATCTTTTTTGTTTTAATTTCAATATTTTACATTTTTCACATTCCATTTTTACTTTCATAACCAAGCTTTTAATAATTATTTATTGTCACCTAACAAGATTGGATTATTTCCAATCCTCTATATTTCAAATTATTAGAATCTCGATTCCTGTTTTAATTCCAGCTATCGTCTTTTTCAATTCTGTTATTCTATAAAATATTCATTATATTAAATTCATTATAGTAATGAGTTTAAGATCTTATCAAAACATTTCTTGAATAATGACTTGGTGCAATTTGCACATTCCATTATGTCTCCCCTCCTCCTCTTCTTCCTCATTCAGTGTTTTCTAATCTCTAGGCCACATACTTCTCCATAACTTTAAAGCAGGGGTGAAATCCAGCAGGTTCTGATAGATTCTGGAGAACCGGTACCTGGAAATTTTGAGCAGTTCAGAGAACCGATAGCAGAAATTTTGAGTAGTTCGGAGAACTGGCAAACCTCTGGCTGGCCCCAGAGTGGGGTGGGAATGGAGATTTTGCAATATCCTTCCCCTGGAGTGGGGAGGGAATGGGGATTTTGCAGTATCCTTCCCCTGGAGTGGGGTGGGAATGGAGATTTTGCAGTCTCCTTACCCTGCCTCGCCCACAGAACCGGTAGTAAAAAAATTTGGATTTCACCACTGCTCTAAAGTGCCTGCTCTTCTGCAGTTTTAAACAGTTTAGTTGCTCTAGTGCTTTCCTATTTTGTTGCTGGCCTATTTGCATGTTTTTACTTATTTTAATTTAAAAATGTACATTTTATGTATCATCTTTCAATGGCTTAAAATATATTTGAAATTATATGACACAGCCGATCCTGTATTACTTGTTCTATTTGTTTTTAACAATTTTTGTTCCTAAATAAATGTTATTTCTCCACAGATTTTCTGGCTTTCTATCATTCTGTTTTTAAAGAATTTCATACAGTATTTTCTTTAATTAGAGCTTTGCCATGATTATTATGACTTCCTTTTACTTTTAAGATTTAATTTTTAGTGCTTATTCAAATATTATTGTGGGATTTGGTTTCTGTTCAATTCTTCTTTATTCCATCACATAGATTCTTTAAGAGTTTAATAAGCCTCTTGTAGATCCAGATAAGAAAACATTTTCCAAATCATTTTCTTTGCCTGTTATTTGTAGTTCCACTGTAGATTCTTTGTTTCAAATAAGACAATATTTGCTCATCTGTTGTTTCCTCAGCAGCATTTTGTGGATATAATCTATCCATATGATCAGACATTATTGACACTGATATTGTAGCTACTAATTTCTCGCTCCATTCTTCAAAGAGCTCCTTTAATATTTCTAATGCAGTTTCATATCATTTTGTAAGTGCCAGTAAACGGACACCAAAGGCAGGCTTGTATTTATTTTCCTTCTACTTAGAATCTTTAGTCCCCCCTCGTGTCTACTTTCTAAAAACATCTCATCTTTATTATGAGCCAAGATAACTAAAATAGCTCTGGTTCTCACAAGAAGCTATTTCTTTTTTATAGCTACCAGTAAGTCCAAAATCTTATAGTAAGTCAATTATTCCAAAGTTAATTGTACCTTTAATCCATGTATAACTTTCTTAAATCTTATTTAGCTTTTTGCGGTTTATTCCAAATTCTTTGTTCTTAAGCTTATGATTAATTTTTCTTTGTTCAATGTTAAAGTTAAATGTACTCAGTGACTTTTCAGATGTGTAGTTACAAAGGTCCCTAACAGCTTTTAGATGGTTAACAATTTCCAAGTCTTGCAAACTTACTGTCCTTTAAAAGCTCTGCTGCAGTTCCTTCGTCTCCTAATGTTCAAACTTGTGTAAGACAGTTATCCTACAGTCACCTTAGGAAGAGCAGCTGTCTGGAGCACATTTGGGCAACCTTCCTGCTCTCCCCATCCAGAGAGGTTCCAAAGAATCAGCCTATTCACCAGTTCTTCAATATTTGCTGTGGTTGTCAGCTCCGCTTTCACAGAGACATTTTCAGTTTACCATGCCTCCCCAAAATCAGCAATTTCACATTTCCATTAGTTTAAACTTTTCAAGTTTTAAATGCATTTGTTCTTGTAAAATAAGATTACAGATAGCCCTAAGTTAATGGCAGTAATTGAGTCCAAAATTTCTGTCACTAAGCAATTTGGTTGTAAAGTACATCATCACATGGCCATGTTGCTTAGCAACAATAATCCTGGGACTGTTCTTGCCAGCTTCTACTGACTTTGCCTCAGGAAATGGTAATTCTGAAAGAGGATGTTTATAAAGGGCTTTCTCTAAATTACAAGATATTTATGTGGTTGCTCATGCTGTAAAAATTACTTCACTGACATACAATTTAAAGCACACTGTATGTTTTCAAATTGTTTAATTTTAATAGTGCAACAATGTATTTAACAAAGGAAAGAAGGAAAGATTGAAGGCAAACGAGGTCCAGGCAGAAGAACATGATGGCTTCAAAATCTAAGGTACTGGTTTGGACAAAACTCAGCAACACTTTTTTGTGCGGCTGCTGATAAAAATAGGATCGCCAACATGATCACCGATGACAGATATGGCACAAGAAGAACAATATATATTTTTATCTTGAAATACAGAAATTTTCTGTATATCTGAAGAAAGAAAGCATAAGTTACTGAAATATTTACCATTAAGAACCCATCTTGAATACTGATGATCAGCTGTCATTCCACCCAATGTAACAAGTATCAAGATGCAACAAATGCAAAATCACTTGCATCTCAAATTGTGCAAACTATTCTCTGGCTTGAGGACTAAGGAGTAGAAAGTTTAATTTAGTGTCCTTTTTTCCTATCCCACTCACGACTAGTAGTAGTTTCACAGTAGTATTCTAAACACTGTATGGAAGGAAGCCTTCAAAACAGATTGTTATAGAACAATGATCAGAGTGGTTAGGTGTAGGGTGAAGGGAATATCCTAGACCTCATCACTTAGTTTAGAGCAGGGGTGTAAAACCTGCAGGCCGAATGTGTCACTTGCTGGCTCCACCCCCTCCTGGTTTAGCGAAGGGGAAAAGTCCCGATACGTCACATGATGCTGACGTGACACCGCGAGTTTGACACCCCTGGTTTAGAGTGATAAAAGCACCCTAAGTATGAGAGCAAGTTAATAATAGAGTGCCTATGCAAATTTGAAAGGTATGGAAGGGACCACCCACCATGAGCAATGTTTTTGGGAAGAAGCATACCATCTTAAATTATTATTATTTTAATGGAATCATTCTAGTTTCAGCACACACAAGTGATGTGGTAGCCTAGAGGTGGAGCTCTCGCCTCACAATCAGGAGGCTTTCAGTTCGATCCTAGGTAGAGCCAGATATTTCTCTCTCTGGGCACAATGAGAATATATCTGCTGAACAAATCTCCGCATTGGTTGACAGAAAAGGCATCCGGCCAGTAAACACTCTGCTAGCTCCATTCAGTTGCCCAGACTCCACCCTGCAAAGGATTATGGGGTCGTTAAATGATGATGATGATTCTATAGTTTCAGACACAAAATATGAGAAAGCAATTATCAATATTTTATTTTAACAACAAACATGAAAAATTATTTGGGAAATGCTACAAAGCCTTGATCTTTATGGGTTTTTTCCCCCTCTGGCTTCATCTCCCTCCCCCAATTTTAGATTGTAAATTAAAAAAATTGTTGATAATTTGGGCAATGCAACTTCCACAGCTTAAAATAAAGGCATACATTAAAAAAAAAAGGAGCAGTAGGTCCAATTCCACTTTATCTGTCTGGGCGAGCCATTCCCGGTCTGGTTGGTACCATCATGGGTCTGGATGGAGGTCTCATCATTGGTGGCCCTGGCATCATTGGCATATGTCCTCCCATAGGTGGCCTCATTCCTGGAGCTATAAAAGCAAAGAAAACATAACATAAAATAATGTAGCACTAATTTATAGGCCATTATGTCACAATGCTTATCAAATTGTGATGAAAAGGATCTTTCAATGTCTGTAGAGCGCTTTGTGTTTTCTTTACATTTTGCAACACAAAAACGAATTCCAAGAAAATGTTATAAGTGGTTTCCAAGATCTTATAAATCTTTGCAGAACCAACATTGTTTCATAGTCTTGCACAAGGATGCATATTTATCTGTTCATTCAAATACTATTCCTCTCTGTCTGTGGCCACTTGTATTCTATTGTGCACTATTCTTAAGGCCTTCAAGTGATTTTTCAATGCAAATAGCAGAGCGCTTCATAGGAAAGTAGGCAGCAAGAAAGCAATCTTCTATGAATGGAACCCTTTTTAACAAAGAAGATATATGGGCCCAAAGTACTATATTACACATTTATTTAAATTATGGTAATTATTCTTTTTAAACAGGCTCTAAATTGGATGTCTTCCATAATCCTGATAATGCTCTCAAACTTTCAGAATTGCAGCTACTATATATTATAGTAGGCTACAATACAATAGGCTACAAGGCTACAGTAAAGCAAGGTATTACAGATACCTGAATTTTCCTCCTCCTCCCCGGTTCACCAGAAAGGAGGCAACAGTTTTTGTATTGGAAAAGGAATGAGAGATGGAAAAAATGAATAGAGCTACAGTACTATTCTACGTATCCGTAAATGTGGCATATGGCTTTTATGGCCATGTTGGCTGCTGCTGCACTGGTGTGATTCAGCAGAGCGGGGGTGGGGGTGGGGTGGGGAGAGAGAAACAAATGGGGAGAAGCAGCACAGATATGGTTTGGGAGTACAGCTGTGTTGCCATGAAAGCAGAAAACGTGCCCTGGCTGCTAGGCAGAACTGTTGTGGGACAGATGGAGGCAAAATTCTCACTGGCTAAACCTAATATACAGTGCTGGTGTTCTAAAGCCCAGAAGGGAAACTCATCTCCTCAGTTACTGGGGAAAATGCTGCTGGTTTGAGAGAGAACATTGCCACATTTGAGCCTGTATCATTTTGATGCATTGGGACCAGTAAGTTATTTTGGGGTAATTGTGCAGGAAATTGGCGCCTGGAGAAAGACATTGCTATGAGCATGCTGGGTTGTTGCAGTGAGTTGTTCTTTTCTGGCTTCAGAGGGAGGGGAAGAGTGAAGACATTACCTGGAAGCTTTCCTGAGAGAAACAAAGAACTAAAAAGAGGGAAGTGCTTCACTCCAAACCCAGGATAGACCAGATTCATGAAACAGACACTGTGTAAAAGTTACTTTATTACTAGTAAAATTATCGTAACTTTAGTAATAGAATTTTGCAAGTCTGAATGTACTTTTCCCTCTTTTATCTTCATATAAATTGAGGGCGGGGGGGGGGCGGGACCTCTAGGTGTTTCACAAATCTTTCTTGATATGGTCTCAAACCACATTCATCTGATTCTTTCTTCGATAGTGGGAGTCCCCTTTGTTTGTCAAGGTTATCCTATCTACCTTCTATATGACAGAGGGAGATAACTACATGGAGACTCCAGGAAAACCTCAAACCTGGAAAGGATGGCAGAAGACCCGGAGGGAAGTACATCTTGCAATATAAACATAGAGAAAGCTATGGAAGCGTTGAGAAAGTTTTTAAACAAAGAGATTTAATCAGTCAATTCCCTTCTCAGTCTCATTGAAAAGGGTGGAAAAAGGAGTGAGTTAATAGGTAAGTAACTGAATTGATAGCAAAAGTTCTGGAAGAGAATAAAAAGAAGAGGGAGCAAGTGTTTTTGAAAAGTTTGGACAAACCACCGCCATAATATAATGTAATACATAGCAAAAGCCTCCTGCATTGTGACGCTTAAAATCAGCTTAAAATCTGCTGTAAAAGTACCATCAGCCATGCTTTGGCAGGAAACCTTATAATTTCAAATTGCTTTTTTTTTTTTCCAATTTTTAAAGTAAGACACTTTGTAATTTATTAATTCCTTCTACGGTGTTAAGGCTTCAAATTCCATCAAGTCGAAGTCAGAGCAAGTGCTCCACTCCTCTCTTCCAGGGAAGGCATGGCAAACAGAAAATGGCTCTGTGAAAGTGGAGCTGATGACTGTGGCAAAGACCAAGAAATCAGTGAGTAAATGGGTTCCTTAGAACCTCCCTGGATAAGAAGAAGATAAAAGAACATCCATATGTGCTTCAGATGGCTGCTCAACACAAGGACAATGGTTTTCTTCAGGTTTGAACCCTTTAAGATGATCATCTTGCTCACAAGCGGGATAAGGCTTTTAAATAGCACTACATTCACAAATCTCACTTTTCTAATCACTTTCAGAAAATGCTCATTAACTACTTTTAAGCTATTATAGACCTTTGGAACAAGTTGGAAAATGCTGGATAAGTCTGCCTGCAATAGCAATAGTACTTAGACTTATATACTGCTTCATAGTGCTTTTACCACCCTATCTAAGCAGTTTACAGAGTCAGCATATTGCCTCCAATAATCTGGGTCCTCATTCCTGAATGAAAGAAATTTTAAATCATAAACTTAAAAATTTAAATAATCTGAAATAAACAGCGAAAACCTAATTATTTTGATCTTATAAATAGACTAAGGGTCCAGATAAAATTGGAATATTGAAACTTGTACAATAAGATACTGGAATTACAAAGAACAAATAACTTTTTGTGGGAAATAGATTGTTTTGATTTTTCTAAAATATAATGATAGACAATTTCATGATTTCAAAAACTGAACACTAGAGGGGACTAAAGTTCTTAGAAGAAAAATTTACAATCATATAATGTGATGTAAAGCATTATAACAAAAATACTGAAGATTTTTGAAAAATGGTATCAGAAAATAGTAGCCACAATATCAACAATGTCAATAGTGATGTCTGTTTCTATGGATAGACTATGCCCAAAAGGTGTTATGAAGAAATGACAGAACCAATTTTATCTGACAAAACAGAGACGGTAACTAAAGTAGATTTTCAACTGACAGGCCAAGAAATGGATGTTTCACTGGATCTACAAATAAAATTGGCTGAGGTTTTAAAATTTAAAAAAGAAACACAAATGACAAACAAATAGAGTGGCCTGGATTTTTCTCATTGAATTTACAAAAGATTTAAAGCAACTGAACAATTTAAAGCCTTGAAGAACTCTGTTCAATGGGACAAAGAAATAAAGAGAAATCAAATCCACAGTATGCCATACTTGAATGAACTAAAGATTAAAACTATTAGAAGTAAAGGAAGACAACGTTGATTTATTTGTAAAAGAAAGGTTAAACAAGATATCTTGTTCTAGCAACTCCTTATGGACTTTCCTCTGACACAAGGACTGAAAAGATGATTTTTTAATGGATTTGTTTATAGATAAGAAATAGAATATAGGATGGAGAGATAAGTCTGTAACCTTACAGGGAGGGTCTAGATTTACAAAGTTTATTTACTTGTTGTAATAAAAGTCACAAGTTGCTTCTTTATACATTTCTTATTATATTCTTACTTCTTTCATCTCTTTTCTTGTACATTTTACTCTTCTATTCTCTTTTCTTTTTAAAGTTTAGTTTGTATTATACTTTTACAAACAAAAATCTTAATAAAAATTATACACAATAACAGTTGCGCCAGTACAACTGCCTCAAGTGGTTTTTCTATATGCTCTATTTTGATATTAGTAGTCCAGCCAAATTGTTCTGAAATAAAACAAATTCTTCTAAAGCTTTTATTGCATCTTTATTTGCTCGGAAGGCCTCGCAATGATCTACACCAGAGCATGAAAGAAGAAGAAAAATTCCAACCTCTTCAGAATAAAAGCACACTACAAAAATGTGTATTGTCTTTTTTAGAGTCCCACTTAATAAATGAAATACAGCAAAACAAGATTAAGAGGAAGGAAGGAAAGAAGGAAGGAAATAAAATATCACACATAGTTTTAGCCTATATTTTCTTCCTTCTGTAAACCTACATACATTATATATTTGATCAGTGAGAAAAGCTAGTAAAGTAACTCCAAAGTATAGACGTCTGAAAATTCTAGAAAAGACATACTGGGAGTTTCCCTGTGCAGTAACAATAAGGGCCAATCTTTATTCTTAAACTTTCTAGCTCATTCTTCTACAATGGTACTGGTAGTGTCCTGTTTTTTTCATGGGAATTTCTTGTGGCAACCCACAATATACCATTTCTAAAGATTTTTCCTTGCAATGGCACAGTCCAAATCTTGATCCTTGATAGATGTCACTAGCCACCTTATAATATGCAGGTTTGCTGTTCCAGAAAAAGGATATAATGTACAGCTAGTACATTACATACACATCTTCAGAATAGGAAGATGTAAGCATTTATTCAATCTATAACCTACCAGGTCCAACTGGCATCATTCCTGGAGGAGGTGGTCCCATCATTGGCATCATTGGTGGTCCACCCATATGGGGTGCTGGCATCATACCAGGCCGTGGAGGACCAGCTAAAGTATAGAAAAAAACAAATATATCAATCAGTCTTATATATCAATTCAGTATCTCAAAATGTGAAAACATTTTAGTTATGTTAAAGTTTATATACAAATAGCAAGTGCCTATTGGATAACCTACTAGGAATGGAACAATATTCTTTAAAACGAATAACCAACTAATATTAAAATAAAATAATATAGTACTCTCTTAGATTTCTATATATAGATTTATCAGAAATAGAGTAACAATATTCATACATACGGATATTAGGCGGTGGTGGTATCATTGCTCCCCCAGGAGGTGGAGCAGAGAACGGGGTAGGTGGGATTTTGCCTTGCTGAAATGCAGCCGCTGTATTAATGGGGAAAAATGGAAAGATATAAATATTAACAGACTACTGAAAAAATATTTTCTTATTATTGTACAACATATACAATGCAATTCTGTAAAGTTTCAAATAATCCACCTTATTAAGGTATACAATTGTCTGGATTTATTTCTTAAAGTATTTAATTTCAAAATCAAATTCTATCTATTTCATCGATTTTAAGTGAAATTTTCAAGTATAAAAATAAGAGATTACCATATAACACACAAATACTTTTTACAAGCTTCCACTTTTTCCACAATTTGTATGCTGATACAAATTCTGTAAGAATTATTCCCAGCTAAATCTGAAATCCTAAATACCGTATATTTACTAACAAGTTGCAGTGAACACAATTTCCATGTAAAATATTCATGAAGAAACTGAAAGCAGTGAGTAAATAAAATAGAGTTGCTTTTCAAAACCTCAAACAAGGTACCAATGTGTTCAGAAAATTTCAAATTAAAAATAATTTTCTAAATATTTTAAAACAAATAAAACCAAATAATATCAGTTTTGTACAAAGAATATTGAATATTTGTTATGAAATGCTGACTATATCAAGGGTTTTCTTTTAGGAATTTAGAATATGCATTCAGTATTTTCCACTAAAATACAGCAGTTATTTCTACCCAACATGGGCTATAAATTTTTAGAATCCGTTTCTAGTACAGGAAGCTGAGGAAGATTTTCTATAGACACTAATCATAAGGTAAAGAAAGCATGTAGAACATGACTTTTGAAATTCTTTCTAAACCCCTTAATGTTCTGGATTACATGACCAGTAAGGAAAGGTTCTAATGGAGGAGGTGGCAAGAATCCAAGTTACTACCTAAATCCTTTTATCATGGGGATACATTGAGAGTCCATTGGAGCTGGGTGGCAAACTGCAGACTACAGGAACCTCCAAATAAATAAACCTCCTATGGCAAATAAAGGTTAAATAAATATATTTATTTCTCAGCAGTCCTCAACGAGATCCAGCCTATTTTCAAAGTTTAGATTTTTTTTGCCAATTCTCCCCAGCACTTAATTTGGACCTATTCCTTATAGACAAAGTTTATGTCTGCCATACGTTGTCCACCAGTTTATGGACAGTTATTCTGCTGTCAAACACAATCCTAAACAGCTTTACATATGGTAATTTCATTCCAATGTTTTGAGAGATTAAAACAAAACAGTGTCTGTACTTCATACCAGAACTTCAGGACTGACAAATACAAAACAATATTTGAAATAAGACTTACTTGTTTTATCTATCAGGCTCTGTGCTTGTTCTTCCATCCATTTTTGATAGTAATCTTTCACATTCTCTTTATGTTTCCTGCCACTGCAATGGGTTTTCCTCACAGATGGCTGGAAGAAAAGAACACCCCATTACTCTCCAAACACTCATTATACTTACAAACCCAAAATTTATCTCCAATGCATGTATCTGGTCTCAAAAATAGCTTCCAAATAAATTCTCACAGCCTTTAAAATTTGCATTTATGTTACACGAGTTCATTTCTCTCTCATTGCTTTAATTATAACTGCAATTAAACACATATTTAAATAGTTGAAGTATGAGTATCTAAACACATTCATTCTCATCACTTCTTTACACCTGCCTACAAACACATTAAATAATCAGTTTTAAACTCCAATTCTTAACTAAGGAATATAATCAGAACTAATAAGTGAATGGAAAAATAATTTTAAATTTTCTGATCATAACACTGTTAAAATTTCTACTTACAGAGTCATGGGTGAGATAAGTATCACAGTAATCACAATAAAACCTGAAAAGCAAAACAAATATTCATAGGAAGTAGGAGTAATTTGCTACTAGGTTCTTTAATACGTGTTAGAAAATGGTTATCAGATTTCAGTAAGCCAACCAATTTAATTCTTTGCTTTTGTAGTAAAAGCATATTTTTCTTCAAAAATCTTAAATGTTCAGTTGCATTTACTTCAAATGTATTACTAAAGCTATATCTATGTCCATCAATTCTCTGTAATAGTTTAACAATCCTAGCGATAAAATTAGGAGGAAAAAAAATTGTCTCTCATGTTTGTATATAAATAATCACACAATAAAATGTATCAGTCAGAGTCAGCTGTTTTAACAGCTAGGCTCTAGCAATCTTAGACCCAATTCCTGATTCTGAAAACATCAATCATACACAATTCATTTCAGCAAATAGCCAAAATGGAAAGAGGCTGCTGTTAGTATCTAATGCACTTAGCAGCCAAGGAAATTTATATTCCTGGAAATGTGTTTCCAAAAAGAGAGAAAAAGAAGGGGAGAAACTTCAACCGCAAATATTGGAGGAAAACCTAAAGCGATGTTCAGATAGAAATCCATTTAGCCAAGCAATAAGAGACGCTTATTCGTATTACAGAGTCTTCTTTTTCGGAACACATTCTCCCACCCAGCCGTCCTGCATTTTCATCTCTAATCTACCCAGTTCACTCACTTCGGCATGTTAACTCCAGGCGATGCGGTTCCGATTCCCGCAAACGTTTATAGGAAATGACGTTTTTGTTGCGCGACGTAGTTTTTTAACATACATAAACAGCACTTCCGGTAAGCGTTAAACATTTCTATCGGTAAGACTCTGTCGGCTTGTGCAAAAGAGTTTCCTCCGTGGCAGAAACTTTGCCGCAGGTGGAAAGTGCTCAGCGATTATAACTGTGGTTGTACCTAAATGATGTATGTTGACGTTTTTATAGATTGCGGAGGTTTCTGCTTCGTACTCCCAATTTTCAATTTTCAAGTTCAATTTTCTTTATTCGCAGTCAGTAAATCAATAATCGGGGATTATGTAAGAATTGTAGCTCAATCATTTTGGGATACATCTGGTTATAGTTCACAATATAAAGGAATGGGGCGGGAAGGGATTACGGAGGAAAGAACGTATTTAACCTTAGTCTATTAGGGTTTTGAGATTTAGAAGTTGTATCAAGATCGGTTGTTAATAGATCAATCAATTTGCACTTGGTGATGTAAATATTTTCCTAATTATAGAAATAACAGCTCTTGTTCTTTTTTTGCCTACCACTGTTGTTTAAAGGTTTTTGCCAGTGATAGACATATTAATTGGTGCAATATCCTAGTTGTGATTTCAGTGTGGGAACATAAATTTGCACACACAACTTTTAACAGATTAACAGAGTTGGAAGGGATCTTGTAGGTCATCTAGTCCAACCCCCCCAAGCAGGAGAACCCTACTACATCATTTCTGACAGATGACAGTCCAGTCTCTTCTTGAAAGCTTCCAGTGATGAAGCTCCCACAACTTCAGAAGGCAAGTTGTTTCCATTGGTTGATTGCTTTCGGCAAAAAAATTCTCCTTATTTCTAGGTTGAATCTCTCCTTGATCAGTCTCCATCTATTATTCCTTGTCTGGCCTTCGGGTGCCTTGGAAAATAGCTAACTGTAAACTGTCGGTTGATGGCCTTAACTGTAACCCATATAGTGGGTAAAAATGTGCGACAGCTGAAATAAGCAGATGTAATCAATTAGTGTGCAGAACTCACTGACAGATAAAAAAGGAACAAAAGCTGAACCAACCAAGCTATATTTCCTTCAGTAATATACTTTAATATTAACATCTGGAAGTCATCCAGAACAAAACGACCAGCCGCATCAGTTTCTGTGTGAATCAAACCAGCTGATATTCATCAAAAATACAGAAATAGAATGGATTAAAGTATTAACAGTCAAAAACTTCAAGAACTGTTGTAACTAATATTTCATATTTCAGAAAAATTTGCAGCAGCCGATGAACTAAATTTGACAGTTGGACAATACTAGGAGAGTAGAGCAAATCCTAAATCTTCCATAAGTCCTACTACCCATGTTGGGATTTTTGAAATAATTGGCAATTGACTTTTCTGTTTATTATGCTTTCCTCCCAATAATGAATGAAAATTACTAATATGACTGCTTTTCCCCACAATGATATCTCACTGTTTAGAACAGACAGCAGACAATCGAGTCAATTCCCCCCTTCCTGCCTCAGTTAGTTGACTTGGCATTAGTTAACAAAGTTATAATTCTTATAGTATTTGCAAGGTGCTATACATGGGGCTGCCTTTGAAGTCCATCCGGAAGTTACAGCAGGTTCAAAATGTGGCAGTGCTAGTAGTAATAGTCACTACTTGTGCTCATGTGTCACTGCTGCCCCTTAAGTTCCATTTGCTATCAGTTGGCTTTTAGGTGGTAAGTCTTTATAACTCTTCTATACATTTGGGCAGAGTGGATATGCACCAGGTCTCTTCTATGCTAAAGTCTCAGGACTTAGCAAGTGTGTCTTAGGAAGTGTGCTGTTCCATACTCTGGAACAGCATCCCTTCAGAAATTCTGATGACGCCTATTCTTCTGGGGTTCTGAAAAGCCCTTAAAACTTGGTTTTGTTCCTTGGTGTAGAGTAAATGTGTTGGGGAGGGAGGGTTGCATCGTGCTTTATACTGTTTTAGTTTGGACTGTTTTTAATTGTTTTAACTTTGCACTAGATTTTGTAAGCCAAAGAGTGTTGGTGTGGGTTCAATGAAATAAATAGTGGAATATATGATACAAATATATACGTAAGTCAAATAGTAATGCAAATATGAAGTACCTATCTTGTATAAAATAATTAACTTGGAATGAACTTTTTATTATTAATCATGTAATTATTTAATGTTGACAATTTAGCTGTTTAACAACCAAGTAGATGAATTACTTTGAAATACATATCATGGCATACCTTTCTTTATACAATTTATCCACTGCTTCAGTTCCAATGGACTCTAGTTGGTTTATAGATATTAGTCATACATAACAGTCATTTGATCATTAAAATTGAGTGAGCTTTTTCATACTTAAAGTATAAACTTCCACAATTGCTCATCACAATTATTTATTTACATAATTAATCATTTATATATTTATACTTTGGTTTTTTACTTTGCATTTATTTATAAATAATTAGATGAGTATTGTGAACTGCACTACCAACTCTCGGGGTTTATTTTTCTTTTTAATGAAATGTTGGTTTTCCTTTTTGGCAAACCTAGATTATAATTAACTACTAGATTCTTGCTAAATATTCACATTTATTTAGGATTAAAAATCTTCACTGAATTTAATGGAATTTATTTCAGTTTCAGCTTCATCAATTACTATAAGTACTAAATGGGTATTTTATTTTTCTATCTCAGAGAGTTAAGAATTTCACTGTGATAAAAATAAACAGCCTTATTAATAACCAATAAAAATTGAGTGGGCAGTAAACAGATGTAGAAGTAGGTTTTATAGATGGCTTGCTGAATATTGGAAATGGTTACTCTCATATTTTATAGAAAATAAAATTAAAACTTTAAAAACCATTATCAATCATTTATCTGTTGTGGTCTCATTTTTTTCAAATGCAAAACATGAATATTCCTTTGTCTATAATGAAGTTTTCATTCAGTTTTTTATATCTGCCATGAAACACAAAATGCAACTCATTTCATAAGGTGCAAGTAATCTGAACCAGTTTCTTAGCCATCTTTGTGGTATCTGTATCCCATTCTTTTTTAATGACCAAAACAACAACAAAAAAAATCCAATGGCTCAGTTAGAAGGGGAGGGGGAGGAAAAAAGAGACCATAAAATTAAAAAAATGTTGTTAGCCTTCCGTTTCTTTGTCAAAAGTCCGGAAGCAAATGTTAACATAGTCTCTTCCAGATTTCAGGCAAAAGACAGAAGGTGGGGTTATTTGAAAGATGGGCTGTGGTAACCTATAATGTATACTGCAAATAAGAACTATGGCAATAGTCTAAGAGTTATGTGTTTATGGAAAATCAGATCTGTAGGATATAAAATATGATTTAGGAAATGCAATTGGTAATCAACGAATTTCCTCTTATTTGCACGGGACTGATTCACCGAGTTAAATGTCCTTCCTGTCCAAACAGGAAAAAAAAAACCACACACACACAATACAAAAACAATAGAGCAACAAATACTTCAGTGACCTTCATGCACACGGAAGTTAGAAATCCCATGAGATTCCATGGAAGTCCCCAAACAAAGACGGGCAAGGCTCAGTGCGATCTAAGGTTACTACTACTGCAGCTCAAATGTTTTACAAAGTTTCTTTTGAGCAGAACTCGGCTCCTTCGTGAACTTGATTCTCTGGTCTTGGAAGGCAGTAAAAGGGAAGTAAATTTTCCACTCTCCCTTTCCAAGGAAACGTTTGAATTTCTCCGTCGAGTCTCCAGCCCTGACTCAGCCCAGCTTCCGAGCCCCCCCACACAGCTTCAGTCGGGGATTGTCACCAGCCGAGACCCCGAGTGGGGAAAAAAAAAGCGCTTAACGTTTTTCTTTCATTTGAAAGGTTTGTATTTTGATCCACCGGGGCTGACGTCATCACGTTTGTGAAATCACGGTACGTGCTGACGTTACGCCGCGGCATCGGCGTGCTTTGCGTGCTGTTCGCTCACTCGCTCGCTCGTTCTCCCTCACCCCCCCCTCCCCCCCCCCCCCCCCCCCCGCAGCTTTGAGCAGGCGGCAGCGGCGGCTCACGGGCAGCCCGGGGCCTAGTGGAAGGGGCCGGGCTGGCGCGGGAAGAAGGGGTCGCGCCGCCATGGAGGGGATGGACGTGGATCTGGACGCCGAGCTGATGCAGAAGTTCAGCTGTCTGGGAACCACCGACAAGGACGTGCTCATTGGCGAATTTCAGCGGCTCCTTGGCTTTCAGCTCAGCCCGGCTGGCTGCGCCTTCTTCCTGGACATGACGAACTGGTACACCGCTGGGAGGAGCGGGACGGGATGGGACCAGGGCGACGGGTAGTTGGAGAAGTGGGGAGGGCGGTTGGCCCTCTCGGGTGGGCCGAGTTGGAGAGGTGGGAAACTCACTTTGCCAGGCCCAGCTTGTTCTTCCGAGCCCCTCACTGCCCACAAGGGAAGTTACCCCGCTAATGGAGCGCGGTCGAGAATTTGTCCACGGACTTAAACCCTGTTAGGTGAGGAGTAATGGCAGGCGGAGCAGCTCTGTCAGATGTAAACAACCCTGTGATGTGACGCTTCTTCACTTGCAGGACAAGTCATACAGGTGCAGTCACCTTATCCCTACAAGGCGTCGTGTGAGGCCTTCTTCCTATAGTGGGTCAGGCTTCCTACACTAGGGTTCAAATCCCGGTTTTTGCTCGACCTGTCTTGTTCTTTGTAACTGGTTCCATCACATTGTGGGGTTTGTTTTTTTTTAATGGTCTCTGTTGCTTAACCCAGAGACAACCTCCTTCAGCTTTTTGAATTTTTTTTTTTAAATATGTTCAGGCTTTAAAGGTGTTTTGATGCTATAAAAAGCTGAATGTCATATAATAATGTAATACAACAAGCCTTTCCGTGTGCCCCTTTCCTCCAATGTGGGCTACTTCTTTTCGTTTAAATTCGAAGTTAGTCATATTTTGATTTCTTCTGCTTATGGAATTTTTGTGTATGTTTTTGCTTTCCTTTTATTGCCCCCAGCAGTATGGTGAGTCATTGAAGAAGAAGTGACGCTTACACCCTGAATCAAGCCTTTGTGTGTGTGTGTGTGTGTGTGTGTGCGTTAGTGAATTTGTATTGTTGCTATTAGTGATAAACAGAATTGTCTACAATTTTGGCTGATTATATCTGTGGAAGCCACATTCTTAAAACTTTTATTCAGTTTTAATCACCACCTGTTTATTACAGAAGTTCTGGTTCACAGGTTTGTAAACAGAAATTTTAAGCTATGCATGCTGTCTGAATAAAGGTGGTGTAAAGTCAGGGCATGTTTTCAGTCTATGAACTTTCTCTTCCTGATCAAATTTCTGTTGTCTCATAATGTTTTTTGACTTTTATGCAAATCACATATCTACAAACTATTACAATCAGTGATTGATTATGTGCCATCAAGTTGTATTGACTCTTAGAAATCACATACTGTAGATAGTCTCCAGAAAAATCTGTCCCCAACCTGGTTGTACAAGTGTTACATCAGTATAGATTGCAAAAAAAAAAAAAAAAAAGTGTGCTGGAATATTGAACACAATATTTGGTGTCAAGTAGTGATCTTGACTGATCTCAAAAAGCCCCCCAACTTCGACGATGAAACCTTAGTATTGTAATGGGAGTCTGCCAGGAAATCCTAGGGCACTTTACTAGAATGGGGAATTGGAAACCAGTTCCATATTCTTATTGAGAAAACTACTTACATGTAATGATGTAACCTCTGGTAGTTGAGTACATCAAGTCTTCCGTTTATTTCATAAAAACCTAGCACTCAAGCAGCATCATGAAATAAATAGATAAAAATTATTTCATCCCAGTTCAAGCTTCCTTGGAAATAATTCAATTTGAAATTAAGGAGACTTATATGTAAAACAACATTATTAGAACTGGGCTGTAAAAATGGTTTGAATCTGATTAATAATAGTTCCTTAGTGAATTTTATTACATACAAGAAATTCTTACTTTGCTGCTGATAAATATAATTTGTCATGTTTAAACTGAAATTTGAGTTTGTTTTTGTTATTTCTGATGTATGGCAGAAGCGTAAGCATAACTGGAATGTACCACTTTAAATTATAGGTTAGATTAACGTACATGTATGCCTGGTCTTCTTTTAAAAGAGGATTTCTACACATGAAAAGGGAGAAATCATGCTAGAAATGTTTAATCATAATATCTAAGCTACATCTCCTCAACTTGCACTCTTTAATAGTACATTCCAGAAAGAAGGATACCATCTCATCTGTGTGATAGCTTTATGCAAGATTATCCAATGAACTTTTGAGCCAAACAGTGTTGAATCTAGATTTCACAAGACATTGTTACCCCACCTAGTTCAAAATTCAGAAATCCCATAAACAAATGTCATAACATTGGGGATCTCCATAGATCTATTGTACCAGTATGTGGTAAACAGATTTGTTGCAGCATAATGCATGATGTCCTTCAAGCTCTATATTTCAATATTTAAGTGTATAAGCATGAATTCTATACTGGTATTGGTAATTACTGGATTCTGGAAGTATGTGACTATTACTGATATATTGCAAAGAATTCTGGTGACAGAATAATGTGATCGTGTATATGAAGAAAAAAGTCTTCAGTATTTTGACTGTATTTATATTTTAAATGAATCAGATGTATTTGTATGCATTAATAATGCAGCTGGGGAGAGTAATGCACCAAGAGAGGGGATAGCAAAGTCCATGAACATTTTATTTATTTAAACAATACAGCATAATATTCTCATGTACATTCCATTCCCCAGGCTGTATTTATTTTTCCATTTTGTATTATTTCTCTCCCCCCCCCCCAAGTGTTTGAGGAAATATTAAAATATTGAATCAGCAAAGAGAAGCATCCAGTGTTGATATTTCTTTTACCAAATTTTGAATACATTTATTCTTGGAGAAGGAATGGTACATTATGCCATATAAGCTTAAAGTGGTCCATGCAGTACCTTTTAAATAAATGATCATAGTATACAAGAGTGAATGAACATGGCTTCAGTGTTGACTTCTGCATTTTACAAGTGCCATACTTTCTTTCTCAATATGTTTATTATCTGTTCCTGAGTTCTTCAGTTGAAGGTATAATTAGTTGATAAAAATAGAGATGTCAAAGCTTGGCTCTAGTATTGTAACATATGTTTAAGTCTATGGTCAGGTATGTTATGATACCTAGCTATGTTGCGGCATGAAAGAGTAGAACAGATCTTTGTACAGCAGTTCTGATATTTAAATTTATATGGTATGCATAATCATAGGTCCCTGTGCTCCCAGTTTTGTTCCTAGCCTTAAATTAGTGCACACTTCTGTGATTTGTTTGATTGTGCCAGCTCTCAATTATATTTTAGTTAGGATCTGCAAATCCTTAACTTAAAAACAATTTAAAGTGTTCTGCATTAGGAAAATATACTTAAGCTAGCTGTATGAAAGAACATTCAGGAAGAACTGATCAGATAGCATTGGTCTTATATTTATATGGACAATAAAAAGTACCAGTAGTCTTTGGTTGACAACTGGTCTTTTTAGCAACCTTTCAATTTCAAGTAAAGTATATTGAGAAATGTATTTGACAATACGCAGGAGTGCATACAGAATTTCTGTACTCCATCCTCAGCCTTGAATACATATACCCTAGAATTGTGATGGGATGAGTGAATTAATTATAGAAGAAATGCTTCCATTCAGGATAAGACCTTTACTAATTTTTCTGGTAATTACATTCCAGAACTTGTCAGAAATTTCAGAAAAAAACTTAAGAGGAGGTAAAAGGCTAGGAAGAGACTTTTATTTTATTCTTAAAACCTTCCTAAACTCTTCAGCTTATCAACATAAACTTTATGTTCAAAGGATTATGTCCAAGGATAAGCAGAAAGACAACTACCTTATTTTAGGTAAAACTGATTGATATGCTGTCATAAAAATCCATTTTTAATTCAACTAAGAAGGCTAACATTCTTATTTAAATGATTTAAATCTTCTTTCTATAAATATTTTTTTGACAAAATTTAGATTTGAAATGCATAACAGTGTAAATATTTTAAAAAATCATTTCCATTCAGTTGTATAACAGTATAGTAGTAGAATGGTAACCTGGAGGATCTATCCAACCGTGGTGATGGCAAAAATGTGACAATAATTAAAAATAAGATTTGATGGTACAACTTAAAATATTCTGCATTAGGAAAGTATACTTAAACTAGCTGTATGAAAGAACTGATGAGCTAGCATTGGTCTTATATTTACAGTATATATTGACAATAAAAAGTGCAGGTAGTCCTTGGTTAACAACTCTCCTGCTTAGCAACCTTTCAAACTTACAACAGCTCTGGAAAAGTAGTTTTACAACTGATCCTTGAACTTATGACAGTCAAAGTGTACATGGTCACATTATCACAATTCAACTGCTTTGCAACTGGCATGCATTTATGACAGTCACAATCACATGTTGCCATTCGTGAGCTTCACAGCCAGCTTCCAACAAGCAAAATCGCTGGAAAAGAAGCTGGCAGTAAATTGTAGTAAATTGCAAGTCACAGCCAACTTGAATGATTCATTGAATGACCACAGTGATACTGACAGAAGTCAACATATTTACGTTTCACTTAATAACATTGCTCATTGGTGGCATTGCCAGTCACAATCAGGATTATTAAATGAAAACTATTTGTAGTCCATAATTCTTTTTAAAGTGGCTGATTGTATTGTCATCACAGTTTTGTGTCCCAACAGTTTTACATTTTTTTTCTTACCCAGGAGATGGCTGAGTAACTCAGTAGCTTGATTGTGTTTGTTTAAGAGAAGTAAGTACCGGCAATTTGCTATTACTTTTAAAGTAACAGTATAATACATTTTTTGATGGATACATAGCAAAATGTGTTTAATTAACACCTACTCCCACTTTGTTAAGCGACCAAGTTCCTTTCTAAGGACTAGGTCATTAAGTGAAATGATCACTCAGTGTACACATGACTGAGAGATTACTGGTTACTGCCATCTCATTCAAATAGATTTTTTTTCATAAAACTAGACCAGCATTACTGTCACTTTGGCATGCAATGTTGTCAAGTGCACAAAATTTGGTTGTAAATGCATACATTGGTAGGAAAATAATTTTATTTTCCTTATTACTATATTTGTGAGTGGTTGCTAACTGAGGTTGTATGTATAATAGATTATCTAAAACGCTGAGCTTGTCAGCTGGAAAGCTGACACCCAGATTTGAGACCCAAGTGCCATACAACGGGAGTGAGCTCCTGTTAC